CCCCTCCATCTAGTTCAGGAGAGCCAGCCCAGTCCTCTTCTCCAAAGGAAGGGCCCTCCAGGCCCCTCCTTCAGAACAATCCTCCAATTCAGAGGAATTGCTTATATTATTAATTCATCCACCCCATCTTCCATATTATGGTGATATTTCCTCTTCACTTAGGGCGGGCACAAGTCTTTCCCAACTCCTTCCTTTCCTTCCCGCGTCTCTTGTTCCTATCGCAGATGTTTTCTTCTTCAAAAGGTAATCGATGTTTACTGCGTCAATCTATTTCAAGATCTGATCTTGTGATTGCGATGCTAGACCCAATTTACAGCAGGTGTAGCTACCCCCCCACCAACAGATTGGAGCTATCACAGCTGGAAAAAGAAAAAGAAAAAAGAAAAAAAAAAGAGCTTCTAGAAGCTGGCGAAAAATCAGACAATGGATTGTTATGTCGCAGTGCTTTCCTGGCCGGGTACGACCAGTGCCAAGTACAGCACACTGGGGCATAGACCAACAATTTGCAGGTAAAGTTGCCAAACCATAAAAGGCAGGAGTGGTTAACAGGGACCCCCACTTTTCAGCCCCGGGTTAACTCCCCCCCCCAAGCACTGAAAGCCAGTGAAAGCCTTGCATTTGGGGATATTTTTTTCAGTTTTTTTTTTTTTTTTTTTTTTTGCCCTTTTTTTTTTTTGGTCAAGGTCTATGTGTGCCCAGTTTGGTGTTTGTTGGGGTCTTGGAGATGACTGTTTTGGCAAGCCCTGAAAAATCCTGAAAATCTGGAATTAGTGAATTCTGCATAAAAAACACATTTTGGCCCTTTTTGGTCCTTGTTCTTATTTTTTTATTTTTTGCCATTTTTTGTCTTACTTGGTGTCCACTCTGTGGACTGGTGATAAGTTTGGTTTCGAGGGTGTGGGAGGTTTGTTATAAAGACCCTGAAAATTTAGGTCTCTGTTAACCGCTTCTCGTAAAACGTGGAAAAATCAGGTAAAACTTTCGTAAAATTATACTAGAAATTCTAAAAATTATATATTAAAATATTGTTTTACTGTGCTTCCATTCCCCATAAATTCCAACTTCCGAACAAGTCCAGTAAATTCAAAATAACCACCAAAACAAGCCCCAAAATTTACAAACTAGTTCAAAAAGGGAAAAAAAGAGACGTAACGTCCTGCATGGTGTGTGCATCGAGCTTAATAGGGCTTGTCTTTGAACCTTGAAGTGGTGCTTTGGGATTACGCAGTTAGGGAGATGTTTGCAATTGGAATGCATGCACGCATAAGGAGATGATTTTGTAAATGGAATGCACAGGTCAGGGACTAAGATGAGCATGACTGACAATGATGGTCGTGATGATGATGATGAATCAACGACTCTATGATGATTTGATGGTAGTGATGATGATATTGATTGCCGGGCTCCTCTATTTGTCTTTTTGTCGATTCTTTTGAAAATATGTTTTCCAACGAAATATGTAGATATCGAATGCACTTTTCAAATACTGCGGACAAGCTGGCCAAAGTGACACCAACACTGCAGCAATCAGTTTCAGTATGATGGATGATGACGGCTCTACATCGTACGTGAAGAAGTGTGGCTTTTCTGATCTGTACGGCTCTGCAATTGCTGTCCGGCTGACCAATGGTGAGAACGGAACCATAGTACAATACCAAAACCCTCTACGGTCTTCCCCCGAGCACAACCCACCCTCACCGTAGCTGTATCTGACCAGAAAAATGGCTTGTATGCATTCATGATGAGGGCGCGCTGTATTGGGGGAAGAAGGTAGGTAGTCCTGCATTTCTCTCCCAATCGTGGATAGTCTCGACCCGTTACACGTCCTCATTGCACGTTGTCTCTATCTTCCGACAATCTTCTCATAACCAGAGACAGCACAGCACAGCACAGCAGGGGGGAGATCCCCCTACCGTCTTCACCCAAATAGAGTGTGCAGTCATCATAGCTGTTACTTACTTGGGGGGCAACTTTCAGTCTAGACAGAGATAATGACGGTGCGTTCTATTGGGGAAAAGACAGTAGTGCAGATTAAGAAATATCAGCCTTTGATGATTTGATCTTCGTTATCTATGGACCATCTCTCCCTCAATCCACAAATTTGAAGTGGAACCAACCATGTCTCAGGGCCCAGACCACAAAAACAGGTTCTGACCACACCTTAGGAAAGCATCCCACCATGTGTGACAATGTCCCTTTTTTTCACCGTTGTCTTTGCAGTAAAATGATAAAATCATGTTACTATGTACGTTTCTGGAAGTACCGTCTTCGCTCAAGTAGAACACACATCACTATCACTGTATCATTCTCACCGTATCGGGACTGAAAGTCGCCCCGAATACAGCCATAATGACCGTGCAACGCATGCATTCTATTCGGGTGAAGATGGTAGTTGAAGGCTGTGTCTGCCTAGCGGAAAAGTGGTACGCAGCACGGACATAAAATGGATGGCACGTCCTCTCTGTAGAGTGCACCCTGGACTTGCAGTGCTTATATAGCCGCGGTACGTCCCTGTTGCTCAGCATGTGGAAGCCATGTTACTTGTGAAGTTGTGATATTTATTTGTTGGCACTGTGCTGTTTGGGTGGGAAAGAAAGAATTGACTGCAACTGTGAGTATTCGGTGCAGTCACTGTTTCAAATTTTCAACTGTTTGTGAAGTTCCGGATTCGAACGGGCAACCTCGGCCTCAAGAGCCCCAGTTCGGGTGTGGTCCGTGGAATTGCGTGGAATTTCATGGAATTCGGAAAACCGTGAGGATTGGTTATGGTCACCGACTCACTGGGGGGTTTCAACTGTGAGGATTGGATGCAACGCATTGCTTCCACGAACCACATCCCAACCAGTGTTGCCCACTCATGTGGGTATGGCCACCCACCATAGGTAGGCAATAACACAATGCTGCACCAGTGCTGGCTGCTCCATTTCATTTGTCAGTGCAACTCAAGCTGTCAGTGACTCTGGCCTGCTTCATGCCAGTCAGTCTGTTGTGCCAACGAGTATACCGGACCTAATCAGGTCCTTCCCGTTTTCACTTTTCCTCTCCCCCCTCTCCCCCTCTTTTCCTCCCACTTTCTCCCCTTTCTTCCTTTTTTCCTTCCCTCCCCTCCTTCTTTTCCCCGTGCGGAGGGGGTGAATTACAGTAATTTGAACTAATTCCTTCACTTTTCCGACAGTCGTCATTTATTACTGAAATTAGTTCAAATTACAGGTTTTTTTAACTTTTTTTTTTTTTTTTTTTTTTTTTTTACCCTGCGACCTCTACTAGAGGGGGCGATAAGAGCAGCCGCCTTACTCTGAAAAGAGTCTGAATTTATTTCCAAATGCAGTCCAGTTTACTTCCCATGTGCAATCGAACGTATTTTTCAACCCCTTGAAACTAGCGCAGGGAAAAGGAAAAAAACTTTAAAAAAGGGGCTGCTTTCCCCCCCCCCAAAAAAAAACAGAACCTTGGGGATTCTGGGTCCTTTTCCATTCTGGGGAGATTCAGTTCGCGGTTCCTATTCCACCAGCAAGTCAGAAAGGATTACAACTGGTACTCACGCACGGTCCTCCCCATTACTGGTGCCTTTTTTTTTTTTTTTTTTTTTTTTTTTTTTTTTTTTTTTTTTTTTTTTTTTTTTTTTTTTTTTTTTTTTTTTTTGCAAAACGGGGCCTAACATTACTGCTGCTTTTAATAAAAGCCTAAAAAATAAAATAAAAAAGGGAAACTGTTTTTGTAAACGTGAGTTAGGGCATGTCCTTCAGGGCATCTGTTAAAATTGGAACGATACAGAGAAAGAAGATTAGCATGGCCCCTGCGCAAGTAAGGATGACGTGCATAAATTGAGAAATGGTCCAAAAAAAAAAAAAGTGAGTCGGGGCATACTTTTCCACTCAAATGTTGTCCTAAACGCAAGTCAGATGCGAGGCCACTGCCTCTATGAGCCCCATAAGGCCCCATTTTGCAGCCCGTCAGCCGCCCTAAGTGAAAGCAGGCACGACGAGGCCCTCAGGGCCCTATTCTGGCCACCACGCAACTCAGGGAAATTCAGGCAGTTGTGCAGCGCGAGTTGGTTGAGTGAACCCAGGCCCTGGGCCGCCTGTGTGAATGTATGTGAAGCAGGCCCTGGGCTGGATACGGGTACTGGGCCAAACACAGGCCAAAGGCAGTTGGGCACATGCAACCACTTCAGGCCCAAGGCCTGCTCTCCTCGTGCTGGGCCTCAGGCTACCGGGGCCTACTGGAAGCTTCCTGGACTGGACGCAGGCAGGCCACTTSGATATAGGRAAGGGCCTGCCTCCTCATTCGGCATTCGGGTGCTGGCTGCATGCTGCGCAAGCGCTGCTGCTGCGCTATTTGCTGGCTGGCGCCTACGCTCTCACGGGCGAGCAGGGAAGGAGCACGCAGCCATAGCCGAGCTGCGCTGCTGTAAGCTGGGTGAGGCGCAGGCCTGTCTCTTATACACATCTAGATGTGTATAAGAGACAGGTATAGGCTAGATAGGATCTGCCACATGTAGTCTGGGCGCCGAGCGCCAGATAGGATATCAACTCTGGTTCTTCGTTGATGATGATGGGACTATTTCAGCATTGTCAATTATGAACTCTTGGTGTGTTCTTATTTGGTGAATCTCGTGATGCAATTCTGCTGTTGGTTCGAGGTCACAACTATCTGGACTCATATGTATGATGCTGTTTGATTGCTGAAGTTCACTATTGCTCATCTTCCTTGCACAGAGAAGAACGTATACTAATTTACCAGCACTTGGGCGCATCAGTCTGTCACTACCTATCTGTCCATCAATGTGGCAATGACTGCATTCAGTGAAGACCACCTATCGTGTGTATCTTCACTGACGTTGCTACTATTCATACCGGTATATTAGGCTCTCTAGATGAATTAGAACTATGAGTCCACGACAAGTTAGAAAGTTTTTTGACTGAATTTGAAGAGGTTTGTATATACTATATACTATATATTTATCTAGTAATAAATTGGAATTTAACGTTTATACTACTTTATAGACATACTCAAATCAACAAAAACATTCACATATCAAGCTGAAACAACTTCAAAAGAAGCTCTTGAAGAAAGAATTCAGTAATTTACACAAGTACATTATATGCGAAAAATGTGAATGCCCTCATTCAACTGAACGAGGGCGGTGAAGGATGTTGTATTGGACCTTCACAGACTCCGCAGCGTGTTATTAGCAGAACTCTTGCTGGAACTACTCATTATGCTGTCATCTCTGCTGCACACTCCTTATTTTCCCTTTGTACATTTGCATTCCTTTTTTTTGCTCCATCTTTCGTCTCTCTTTGCCTCCCTCTCGATTTGCTATGCCTCGCTTCACAGCGTTCAAGTGGGTTGTCAAGGCAGGCGATGATGGTGTAGGCAGCTCGCACTCAACTACACCAACGTGAAGAGCCTTGTACCTGAGAGGCGCAGTAAAGGGAGAAGTGGAAGGAGAAAGGAAAGGGACATCGTGAAAAGAAGAGCGAAAAGAAAGAAAGAAACGAAAGAACTCCGCAGAGAAAGGTAAAAAGAATGGTTTCAGTGCGCCTCATGCTGTCAGCAGCTTTTTTTTTTTTTCATTTGTTTCAAATTTCAATCAAAGTGCGCTCTCTTTTTAGTTGATGATGCTAACTTTTTAAGTTTTTATATAAAATTGTGGCTTATTTGCCCCCCCCCTCCTCGATTTCCCAGGATTGCAAATTGAGGACAATGTTGCATTCAGATCGTACGACAGTTCCAATTTTGTGATCGACGGTGGTTCAAATATCAGCTTGAGCCGCAACCTGGCAATCGGTGCACATTTGGAAAGAGCTGTGACGGACGATCTGTATTCCATTTCTTTCCGAATCTCCTACTTCCCGGCAAATTTTGAGGTGAAAAACACTGTCGGCCCGATCCGCATTCAGGACAATGCAGCAGCCGGGTCATATGTTCTCGGTTTCAACATTGTCGGCGATGACTGCAAAGCAGAAGAAAGGAAAGTCATCGGCAATGAGGCACACACAAATCTAGTTGGAGTCTATTTCCAGAATGGTTACTCACCATCAAATTGCATTTGCATTGACAACTTCAAGATATCACGGGTATGAAAATGCTGGCCTCAAAATTGCAATCTCCCTGAAACCCCTTTTTTGTATTCATTCATTCAAATTATTCTTGAAGAACGGACAGTTTCCTGTCCACTGGCTTCTTACAAAAGAAAGGAGTTCAAAATAGATCCTTTTCTCTTTTTTCTAATGGGAACGTTGCTCCAGTTATTCGTGGGGAGCTTCACGTACTAGGAACCGGGGCCAGCATCCCTTATGAACATTGAACAATTGGGAAAAACAGATTGTTAAGGGGGCCATTACCCGGCTCCGGCTGAGAAATTCTGAAAAATTCTGGACCATCTCCTCCTTTTTTTCCTTTTTTGGTTGCCCTGGACCTGGACATCCAGACACCGGACACCGGACGCGGACCTGTGTCTGGATTAACCCAGGCTTCCGGTAATCTGAACACCGATCCGGACACCGATCCGGACATCCGGACCCGGATGGTCCGGTTATGGATGAGCAAGTCCGGATGTCCGGATTGGAAAAAATAAATAAAAAATCTGGACACCGATCCACACACGTGTACACACACACACACACACACACACACACACACACACACACACACACACAGAACTGCACAAATTGTCAAATAAATTTCAAAATTCAAATAGACAACATGAAGCTGGTGATGGCGTGGCCAGAGCGGGTGTCTACTGTTTGAGAGCACTTGTGCACAGGGCAGACGTCTGCTGCAGGCGGCGTGGAGTTTGAAAATGGCCTCCTCCCGCCGGCATGCAGTGAATGCCTCCAACAACCAGTTCTCCTTGGCCTGCTGAAGTTCACCCAAGATTGCAAGTACAAACCCTTCAGGGCCAGTCCGGTTGGCCCAACGGTCCACCAAAAACTGCGCCAACAATTTTCGGGGGTACACCAGGCAGTGGAAAATCGCCTGGGACCCCATTTTTTTCTCGAATTTTCTTGAAACAGGGCCCAACCAGACCCCCCAAAACGGACACCGGACCCGGACATCCAGACCAGACCGTCTGGATCCGGATACGGACGTCCGGTTAACAACCATGAAACAAGCAGAACCTCACGGTTCTGGCTCTTTTTCCATTCTGGGGAGTGTCAGTCTGGTTCCTATTCCACCTGCAAGTCAAAAACAATTTACATTAGTTATTCACCAACGCTCCTCCCCATTATGGCGGGATGGCCCGAGGGACGGAGATTACTTCCTGAAGGAAGGATGTACCATCCCTCACCCCTGCCTGAGTTAGCCTGTTCTAGCCCTGAGATCCTACCATCTTCACACGAATAGAACGCCTGGTCATTATGGCTGCATCTAGACTGAAAGTTACCCCAAATACGGCTATAATGACCGGGCATTCTATTCGGGTGAAGACGGTAGTCTGGCTTCCAAACTGCCTTGGTACTAGGAACTTACTAAATTCAGGCCACTGAACCATCTCCTACTACTTACAGGAATTTCACAAATTGAAGGATGCAAAGAAAAAATAACGAGCACCTCGTTTTTTTGTTTTTTTTTTTGAGTATCTCCTATTACCTAGTACCTACAGGAATTTTACAAATTGAAGGATGTAAAGAAAAATTAACAAGCACTTTGGTTTCTTTTCTTTTCTTTTCTTTTCTTTTTTTTGAGAAAGGGGAAAAAAATTTAGTGATGCGACGAGAGAAACCGAATTCCTCTCACATCAACTAAACCACCAGCCCACGTATCCCTCACGAGCCACCATCTTGTGAGCCCCTTGCCCTCCAGCTTTCCCGATGGGACAACGGCACTCTCAGGACGAGACTTCAAATGCGATCCTTGTCCCTCTGATAAAAAGAAAGGACTTCAACGGAAAGTTTACGCCCTCTTGAACTCTGCTCCGGCATTTCGATGAGAAGGGTGATTGGCAGATTTCTGGTCTCCTTTCTTGTATGGACGTGTGATGACCACCCCCATTCTCATCGAAATCCCTAACTGTCCGCAGCTTTATACCCCAGTTTATGCCCTCTTGAACTCTGCTCCGGCATGTGTAGATAGATGCCCAGCTGCATTCTGACCCGGCAGCTATTTCTTCGCCCTGCCAACAATGAACAGGCTATTTCATCCTTCACCGAATTGTTTTAGAAGGAGCATGAATGCACATGCATCCATCCGACTGGTAATCCACTTATCCGGCGTTATTCCCTGGATCATTTTCTGTGCTTCACAGTAGTATTGTGACAGCCTTTGAGCAGTGGTGAGTTCTTTTGATTCGCCATAAATTTTCCGTTTATATTTTCCTCGTTCCCGTTGTGGCTGGGTCTCCAGACACCATTTCGCACACATGCTACCCCTACAGGCGTCAGAGCTAATTTTTTTGCCTCTCATTGCCGCGCTTTTCTGCGAGGCATACACACGCAAATGGGAGCCATAAGAGCGAGCTCAGCGAGGTGTATAAACGTCGGCGTTATAGAAGATGTCCCTCTATTCGTGTGTTTCTGGCTTTATGTTTAATTTGACCTTCCTCGACGAGTCGACGGGATCTTGGGAATAGCAGCCACCCTCTTTAAGGAGCTATAGCTGCTAAACACATTCAAAGAGCACAAGCAACCACACAACGCGGTGAAGTAAACAAGGAAGAAGTTCCTGCCATACCTTGACAAAACCATCACCCCACAACAAGCAGAATTTCTGGGTAGGCCAATCACTCAGGAGGACGTAAGGGAGGCCCAGAACTCTCACTCAATCCCTACAAGACACCGGGCAGAGGATGGCCTGCCAAAGAATGCGGCCGGTATTCGAGGGGGAATACTTCCAATTCCTGAACCATAAGATCAGGTGCGGCTGGTTAGGGATCTCAATGAGAATGGGGGTGGTCACACTTCCATACAAGAAAGGAGACCTGTCGGATATATAGAACTACAGACCAATCACCCTTCTCCCGGTGGTATACGAGGCAAACGACAACTACCGGTGAACAAAATCACAGTGGTTACCAAGAAGTGCTTTCACCTAGACCAGACAGGTTTCATCCCAGGAAGGTTCATGTTGGACAACGTCATTACACTGTCAGGGTCATGTGAGACTGGTTAAGGACAAGAAAACGAACACGGTTACACGGCAACATTATTGTTTTTGGACTTTGGAAAGCTTGTGACCAGAATTATTAGAACGTCCAGCAATAAATGGGATAAAGCGGAAGTGCTGCGGGGAACTACAACAAACGAAAGCCTCCAGACGTGCATGTTAATTAAGCTGGCTGGTTTTCCAATGCCCCAAAACTCACAATGGTATGAGGGTAAGCTATACCAAACAGGGAGATCCCTGTCGCTGTGGATAAATTGGAAAAGAAGGCGTCAAAAAAACATTGACCCCGGAAAAACACCCTGGCACCTCAAGCATAGGAAGAATTTATGCAGCTATGGGAAAGAGAGAACATCACGGAGTGTGGGGTCGAGGCCAAAAGGGAAGCAAAGTGCAACCCAGAAGTAATCACTGCTGTCCAGGTTTCCTGGTCTGTAACACAGGAGAGGGTATCGAGTAGGTGCAGCTTTTGTGTCCTGTAATAATGATGGAACGATAGGACCCAATTTCAAGCAGGTGAAGCTCCCCACCAATGGGAAGGAGCCTGGTTCTTTTCTTTTCTTTCTTTTTTTTTTCTTTTTTTTTTTTTAATGAAAGAGGAAAAGCATCAAGGCATTATCACAATTCACCGGATGAAATACACTCACTGAACAACCGGAGGGACAGATGACTAAACGGCATTTCGAAGCGCTACGGCGAACCGAACTCCCCTGCCTGCAACCCCACTTACTGAGGGTGATTTTCCCCGTGGCGTACTCTTCAACATTACTCAAACCTCTGCGTAAAGAAGGGAAGGAGGAGTAGCGACCAAGTTGAATTTGGCTGTTTCTATCATAGTGTCTGATCATGACGTTGATGTAGCCTTCGTGCGTTTTTTTTTTTGTTGTTGTTTTCAAGCAGCTGTCTTCTCCTCATATGGGGGACATCTGTATTCAATACGCTATTTTCTTCTCTCAGTATTGTTTCCACCTCACACTAGCCACTTACATACCTCGCGCTACCTTACCTACATATCTGGCATGGTGGAATTCCACATCTGTGCACTGAATGGTGACATCATCTATCCACTCTGCTCTCTAATCCTCAACGACCTGCTAGATGGGCTAAGCCTATGTCTATTTACTCTACACCTCATGCTAACTTCCACTGGGGATTCCTAAGGGAATTCCAAATTGCAAGGAAGATGAGCAATAGCGAACTTCAGCAATCAAACAGCATCATACATATGAGTCCAGATAGTCTTGACCTCAAACCAACAGCAGAATTGCATCATGAGATTCACCAAATAAGAACACACCAAGAGTTCATAATTGACAATGCTGAAATAGTCCCATCATCATCAACGAAGAACCAGAGTTGATATCCTATCTGGCGCTCRRCGCCCAGACTACATGTGGCAGATCCTATCTAGCCTATACTACGAAGCCGAAAGATGACATCAACAGCATTCCCGAAGTACAAGCATATGGCGACCAATGTC